CTTCTTGTCGAACTTAAGGAACAGCTGGGTCACCCTGGCAGGTAAGCGGCGCGCAGAATCTGGGAGGAGCAGGAAGAGGAAGAGGAAGATGCGGACGAGGAGAAGAAGCAGGATAGGGGGGAGGAAGGGGAAAGGGGTACTTAGAATATGGATGATGAAATAAGAGGAAGAAGGGGGGGAGGAGGAGGAGGAGGAGGAGGAGGAGGAGGAGGAGGAGGAGGAGGAGGAGGAGGAGGTGGGGAAGAAGGTCGGTCGGTCGGTCGGTCGGTCGCGACGTGGCGCGCGCAGAAGGAGGGACGAGGAGGGAGGAGCTGAGGCAAGACGAGATCTGGTCAGCGCCAGGTGGAAGAGGAGACTGTGGGGCGGGCGGGCGGAGGTGTGAGGGCGTGGCGCCGTGGCGAGGGCAGGGTCGCCGGTGGCTGGGGCAATGTCGAAGAATCTCTTCGTTTTTCACTCTCCTTCTGAGGCCACTCGGTGTCTGAGCCCACTCTGGCCGCAAGGTGGGCCGTCGACATTTCTTCAATTAAGCTTTGCCGGAGCAAGCCTTGCTTGTTCGTGGAAGTAGCCTGGGCATCGCTCGGACGTCTATTCCCTGTGCTTTTTTCGGTTTCGTGCGTGGTTTTTTCGCCGAATGATCAAGGATGCTCCTCGATGGTCCTCGCCGAAGGACAAATGCACACGTCCGAGCGGAGCCAAGAAACAGGAGGATGCGGGGTCATTCGCCCCGACTATTGTTCGGGGTTCCTCGGCGAGGCTCGGGGTTCCTCGTCAGAAGGCGGCCCCCGGCGTTGCCCGCGGTCCCTCACGACTCCTAGGCGTTGCTCGGGGTTCCTCGGCTTCTTAAGCAAGGCCCGGCGATTCCGAGCAACGCTAAGCAAAGCCAAGCAAACCAATGCCAAGCAATGCCAAGCAATGCCAAGAAGAGCCAAGCAACGCAGAGTAGTGCCAAGCATAGCTAAACCATGCAAAGCAATGCAGAACAATGCCAAGCAATGCAAAGGAACGCAAAGCAATGCCAAGCAAACTGAAACGATTCAAACTAATGCCGAGCAATACCAAGCATTGTCAAGCAATGCCAAACGCTTGCTTTGCTCAGAACTGCTTTGACATGCTTTGGGCAAACACGATGACCCTGAATTGGGGTCGTGCCAGGATCTTATTTGGGGATGGTGGGCGGCCGAATGGGCTCAATTCCTCCAGGGCCCTGTTACGGGGCAAAGGAGGCCAGCATCGAGCGGGCCTTCGGGGGATCTTGCATGTCCGAACGCGTCGCAAGTCGCGTCGAATCCGCGTCGAACAAGCGAATCCACGTCGAGTCCGCGTCAAAACCACGCCGAATCCACGTCGACCCCCAGCCGAATCAGTGCAAGACACAACAGAAGACCGCCGCTTGACGCGAAGACGTCGGCTCTTACTCGGCATCTGGAGGGTGCGCTCGACTGCTTTGTCCGTTAGCGGGCTCCCGCCCATGCCCGGTAGCTGCGCGCGTAGACGTGCAGGGCCACCGCGGCGGTCGGCTCAAGCAGGGGAGGAGGGAAGAGGAGGACAAGAAGAACGCGACACCGAACACGAGAGGAGGCACCCCGACACGACGCGGAAAAGCGCTTTGCCCTCTTACGGCTCCCCTGGGCTCCGGGGCAGGAGGTGCCACTGGCTGCGGCCTCCTGTGCCCTCCTCACACAGGTCGCCACCCGGAGTGCGTGGCTGGCACTGTGGCGGGACACGACGCAGGCAGCTAGATTTCTTTCTGCATGTGTGCTCGAATGAACATGTGTGAAAGTGTATCAGCGTCAGAGCGGACCCCAAACAGTCACTTATTGCAGTGTTCGTGTGCGAGCTGTGTGGTTCAGTCTGCATGGTGCAAGCTATGTGGTGCAAGCTATGGAGTGCAAACTGTGTGATGCGAGCTATGATGTGTAAACTATGTGGTGCAACATCACTGGCCCCCCAAAGCGTGGTGGGCGGCAACGAGGCGAAACGGGCGGCGGTGCGGCGAAACCCCGACGGACCACCCAAGTGGGCGACAACAGGGCGGCAACGGGCGGCGACGCGGCGAAACCTCGACGGGCCTCTCCAAATGGGCGGCAACAGGGCGGCGACGAGACGGCAACGCGGCGAAACCTCGTCGAGGTTTCGCCGCGTCCCAGCCCGTTGCCGCCTCGTTGGCGCCCGCCGCGCTTGAGGTGCCGACTCCTCCGACCCTCGGAAGCGAGGCCCTTTCTAGAGCGCCCCATATGTATGCTTGGAGCCAGCACCAGACGAACAACGCTGCACAGGCACAAACTGCTGGAGGTCCGCGCGGATCTCTTGGCTCGGCGCCGGACACCCGCGCTCCTGGCACGAGAAGCGCTCGAGGGGCGGCGCCGGCGGGGCCGCCAGGGAGGCCCAAACGCCGATCCACGACATCCGCGCGGAGCGCCGAGAGTGTCTGCTGATCCAGTGCTCGTCCCATCTGAAATGCCCCAGCAGGGTAGCTTCCGCGGCAGCGGGGCGGCGGCCGCCGGGGCGACCCGCCTGTCGAGGACCATGCCGCCGTGCCGCGCGGGGGGGTCGCTGCAGGCCTGCCGCGGGCAGCGGCAGCCACAGGGGGGCGGCGGGCCAGAGGTGTGCCCCGGGGGGCCTCGGGCGGGCGGCCAGCCTCCAGGCCTGCCCCCCCAAAGACGAGGGGGAGGGCGACGAAGGGGGGACGAGGGAGAGGGCGGCGAGGGGGAAGGCGACGAGGGGGAAGGGGGAGGGGGGAGGAGCAGCAGCTCATTTCTGTACAGCCCGAAGGCGCGATAGTTGGTGAAGGGCCTCGCTGGCTGTACATCTTTGAACAGAGCGCACGACGAAGAGACCACTGTCGAGATCAAGTGAACTGTGCTCGAGAGGGGAGGGCGAAGAGAGAGGCGGAGGACGTGCTGCTGCTCCCCTTCCTCTCCTCGGGCGGGCGGCCCGCGGGGGCCTTCCCCCGTCCTCTTTTTGACGAGCGGCGAACTCATCCATTTCTGCGCCCTCGCGGTCTGGACTCTGGGGCGCGATCCCGTGGATACGGTGGATACGCGTTCGCATGTATGCGTTCCGCGCAGGGCCTCTGCGAAGCAACGCCCCGTACCCATGGTTCTGGGCCCATACCTCCAACGTCTTGATGAAACAAAGCATCACTACGTTTTGACTTTGCTCAAGGCCTCGGGCTCCTTGGGCTAGTCTTGAGGAATCGGGACCCCGCTCCCCCAAAACAAAATTAGCCTGGCGAATAACCCAACCCTTTCCCAAAACGAGGCAGCCATGAGCAGGACGCTCAATACACTAGAACACTATCGAGCGGGCCTTCGGTGGAGCCCCCTTATCGGGCCATGGATAGCGTGATGGGGGCAGGGGCGAAATGGGGCGGGCCACAATGCGGACGCAGCCACCGGAACCTCCGGTGGAGCTCGATTAGGGGTCACGAGGCGTGTGAGGGGTGTGCGGAAATGCGGTGGGAAACTATGCGGACGCAGCCACTGGAGGCTTTGCTAGAGTTCCCTTTGGGGGGTGCGAAACGTCTGAGGTGTGTGCCGAAAAGAGGCGGGGCACCATGCGGACGCAGACACTGGAGCCAGCCATCGGTGGAGCTTCCTATGGAGCCACGAAGTCTGCGTGGTGTCGCTGGGGCCCTTGGTGGAGCTCCCCATGGGGCCACGAAATGCGTGAGGGGTGTGCCGAAATGGGGCGGGGCACCATGCGAACGCAACCACTGGGGCCTTCGGTGGAGCTCCCAATGGGGCCACGAAGCGTGTGAGGAGTGTGCCGAAATGGGGGGGGCCCAGCCGCTGGGGCCTTCGGTGGAGCTCCCCTTGGGGCCACGAAGCGTGTGAGGGGTGCCGAAATGGGGCGGGTCACCATGCGGTCGCATAAACTGGAGCCTGTGGTGGAACTCTGCAGAGGGCCACGCAGCGTGTGAGGGGTGCTCCAAAACCGTGGGGAGGATAATCGTGGCGGTAAGGATAAGAGATATGGTCATGGTAAAGTGACGGTGATTATGACGACGGTGATCATGAGGATAACAACAGTAACGAGGAAGAGGAGGAGGAATCTGATGCCGATTATGCTGAGAACGATGTTGCTGCTGATGATGATGGTGGCGGTGGTGGTGATGACGATGGTGGAGATGATGATGATGCTGCTGATGATGCTGGTGATGATGATAATTCTGACGATGCTGCTGCTGCTGATGATGATGATGACCATGACGATGATGCTGCTGAGAATGATGAAGATGCTGATAAAGTTGAATGTGCTGATGATGAGGATAATGATGAGGAGGGGGAGGAGGAGGATGAGGATGAGGATGATGATGCTGATGCTGATGGCGGTGACGATGACGATGTCGATGATGGTGATGCTGATGATGATGGTGATGATGCTGATGAAGATGATGAAGATGGTGCTGCTGCTGATGATGATGATGATGATGAGGAGGAGGATGATGATGATGATGATGACGATGAGGAAGATGATGATGACCATGATTGTGTTAATGATGATGCTGATCATGATGCTGATGATGGTGATGATGTTGATGATGGTGATGATGATGATGAAAATGATGATGATAATGATGATGATGACGATGATGATGATGATGACGATGATGAATATGATGATGATGATGATGATGATGATGATGATGTTGATGATGATGATGATGATGATGATGATGATGATGATGATGATGATGATGATGATGATAATAGTGATGATGATGATGATGATGATGATGATGGAGATGATAATGAGGAGAACGAGGAGGATGGGGAGGAGGAGGAGGAGGAGGAAGAGGAGGACTAGGACACGCGCGGCGCCGCGGATTCAAAACGAGGGCACAACACGCAGGAGGGCTGGGGGCTATCTACGACGAACGTCCTGTCCTCTGGAACTCTTGAAGGGTCGAGCGTCGGAGGGCGAGCATGCCTTCCTCAAGTGAGTCCAGACGGGCGATTAGGAGGGGAGGATGTGGAGTGGGAGGGCTCCCATGAGGAGGAGGAGTCGGTGGAGGAGGATGAGTAGGCTCAGCTAAGTCTCCGATCCAGGTCTGGTGGGTCATCTCAAGAGCGCGTCGATGCGGCGCCGCTGCTCGTGGCTGAAAGGCTGCCGCGTGTAGGGGTTGAGGTCGAGGCGGCCGGCCCGCTGCATGCCGCGCAAGTCCTCGATGCTTATCGGAGGGCGCCAAGTAATAGAACCGATGCTGGGCTGGCCCACGCAGAGGCAAGGATTGGTGCATACGTCCTCCTGGCCAGGAGAGAACAGCGTATGCACCGATCCTGGGCCCTGAATCCGCCCAGCCAGGATCGGTGCATGTGCAGTGTTGGAGCCCTCCGAGCTCAAGCACTTGCCGTGGCCCAGGGCCACGTAGCGGCCGGGCCTCACGGGCTCGAAGGAAATCTTCGACTCACCGTCCTCGCAATCGACCGTCGGACCTGAGCGCGGCGGAGCCGAGCTGGCCGCGTCGCCAGGCTCCTTGAATAGCTCGTTCAACACGGACTCCACCAGCGTCGCAAGTCCAGCGATCGCAGCTGCCAGGCCCTGCTTCTGCAGCTCTGGGGGTATCGCGTTAAGCATAGAACCGAAGAGGCCTCCCACGGCGGTGTCGTCGGCCAGCGCAGGGGCGAAGTGCGAGGCCACGTCCGCGCTTCCCCGCGCGCGCCGCAGCTCCGCCAGCTCGCGGCTCTTGGCATCAAGGGACACGATGCGGTCCTTGGTGGCGGGGTGCGTGGAAAGCCAACTGGTGGCGGTGTCACTACTGTCCAGTTTCTTGAAGAAGCTTGCGGTGGCCTCCGGAGGATAACCAGCGTTCAAGGTGGCCCACCAGGCAACGGCATCCGCTTCATACTCGTTCTCTCGGGAGTAGCTCAGACTCAGAACTGTGTGCGCGCCCTGCATCAGAACGCCGGCCAACTCGTCGCCGAAGGCTTCGCTCCGGCCGTCGCTGTCACCGAGGAAGAAAGCTTCCAGGACAGTGAGCAAGAGTCTTGACTGCACCATGCGCTGCAACGAATGTCGATGCAACACGTGGCCGATCTCGTGACCGAGGACGGCAGCGAGCTCATCGTCCGTGGCAAGGCGCCTGAGGCCGCTGTTGACAAAGATGAAGCCGCCAGGGCAAGCAAACGCATTGACGCTCTCGCTCGGGTGCTGCCGAAGGTGTCCCTGGCCCTGAGGTGTCCCCAGGATTTCTGGGGTGGCCCAGATGGCATCCAGAGCACCCCCCCCCCCGAGGCCCAGAGGGCTCCAGGGACTTCGACATGGTGCAAGAAGCTGGAACACCTTGGGCCAAGATCACTGCCAGCACCACCCGACTCGTCGTCAAGGAACTGGAAACGCCACTGGTACTGGCTCACGGCTGGAAGCCGCGCGCGCATGCCCCGCAGCAGCTGCTCCCCCATGGCCTGCAGGCGGTCCTGGTCGCGAGCGCTGCGGAGCACCTGCGACCGGAACTGGGCGGCAACGCTCGCGCCGAGCTCGGCGTCGTGGTGCAGGGGGAAGGTTCGGACGGCGTCGACCATACACCCACACCGATCCTGGCCAGGTCGATCCTGTGCACAAGATGGGCCCGGCCACGATCGGCGTAGGTGTGTAGTTGGCGCCCTCCGAATGGTCTGGACCACCTGGGCTGCGAGCCAGGCGCCCAGTGGCGTTGCGACCCAGGCCAGCAGAAGCGCGGCGACGAGCACGAGGTAGATCCACTGCCGGCGGTGCCCGAAGGCCGACTGCGCATCCGATAGTTGAGAGAAAAGTGCCTGCACCACTTCTGGGATGACAGTACAGCTACACTGGCCCTGGCCTGACCAACGCTGGCCACAGGATCGGAGTGTACACGTCCTCCAAGCTTGGCCAGGACGGCCTACACACTGACCCTTTGCCCAGCATAGGCCTGTCCAAGGTCGGTGTGGGTGTATAGTTCGTGTCATCCGAACCAGGCGCCATTCTGGTCTTACACGTGCTTTCTACCTTGCCTCCTGGTAGGCATGCCAGCTTTCAGTGTTCAGGTCGGGGGCTCGGGGGTACGCCACCACACTTCAATTCGCGCATGCGCGGTCCAGCCAACGTGGTGCAAGCATTGTTTCTTCAACTTGGTGACCAGAAGAAAGAAAAGGGCGATGACCTGGACACCATTGTGAGAACTAAGCCTCAGTCAACGAAGGAATCTGGAGCCAAATGATTGCAGGGATTTATGGCGAGGGGACTTGGGATGGGAACCAGATGCTTCCCAAACGGTGTCGGAGTGGATGGGTTCAGAGGATCGCGTCGCATCGCCGATGTCGATGGTGCATCGGCTACCCCGACGTGAAGACATCGGGCTCCTCATCGAGCCACATCGGCGGTGCGGCGCGATCCTTCGACCCCATCGTCCCAGACCCCATTCGGAACGCCTGGAGGGAGGTTGTCTTGCAACATCGGTGACGAACCCTGGCTTGACTCTGGTCTGCCTCCCGCCTCCTCCGGCGACGCCCTGCCGAGGGGCGAGGGGTCCAGAAACGTCGACCCTGAGTTCTCGGAGCGACATCGCCGCCGACGACGACGGCGACGCCAACAACGACAGCGGCGGCGACGACAAGTCGATCCTCGGTCTTCGGGACGGAATACGGAAAGGTGATGCGAACACGAGCAGCGCGGGGAGCCAGGGGGCGTCTTGCTCGTGGTGTGGCCCCTCCTCCCATCGCGAGACGCCCCCGATCCCTGGCTCTGGGAGGCATTGTGGACCTCAACGCTGGAAGCAGTACCCCTGGTCTGCCCCTGGCTCGGAACGAGGCGCCGGGGCACGCTTGCCCGGCTGGCCCTTCAGGCCAATAGGCGGCGCCGGAGGCCCCGGGGCCCTGCGGCGCAGAGGGAAGCACCGGGCCTCTTTGACATAGTCTGCCCGGACAGCCCAGGCGGGCACGGGCAGCGCCCAGGGCCTCAGCCCCCGAAGCGCCAAGCGAGGCACCCTCGGGGGGCCTCGGCCCCCAGGCGAGGCGGCGGCGGCGGCGGCGGCGACAGCGGCCGGCGCGGGCGGGCCTCGCCGAAGCCGCCCCCCGCGGCCTACATCCGGGCGCCCCCCTCGGCCCCCCGCAGCGGCCGGGGGCTCCGCGCGCCTGCCGCACCGCGAGGCGCGGGGCCCTCCTCCCGCCTCTCCTGCCTCGGGCCCTGCCTCGGGTGCTGCCGCCTCCCCCATCGTCATCCTCCCCCTCCACCCTCCACCTCCTCCCTCCTCCCCCATCGCCATCCTCCACCCTCCGCCCTCCACCTGCCTCCTTCTCCCCCCCGCCATCCTCCGCCTCCAACCCCCTCCTGCTCCTGCCTCACGTCCCTCCTCCTCTTGCCACCTGCCTCCTCCTCCTTCTCCTCCCCCTCCCTGCCGTAGCCATTTTGGCTCAAGGTGCAATTCTTCCGTCGCAGAGCACGGATACCGCTGATCCGCGGCAGCCAGTCCCCATTATTACAACCGACGCTAGCTTGGTGAACTCCTGTAGGAGCAAGTGCGTGCCATGTCGTAGCGTCACGAAGCGCCCTGGCATGAGAAACGGTTGTGGAATTCGTGGGGCGGCGACGGAAGCGGGGCACCAAACAACGTGCCCAATGGCGCCAATGGTATTTCGAGTGCTCCGCTTGCGGCGCCTGGGAGTACGATAAGCATGAGAGCTTGCCGTGCAACAGGTGAGATGTTGCCTATCGTGACGGCGGTGCATGTGGCGGTGGCGATGGTCCTTCGTCCCGGTCGAAAGCTCACGACGGTGATCCTGCTGCCCAGGCTTGCGTGGCAGGGGTGCTCGAGACCACCCTTGCCATCGCTCGGACGTCCATTCCCCGTGCATGTTTCGGATTCGTGCGTGCATGTTCTAGGCGGGATGATCAAGGATACTCCTCGATGGTCCCCGCCGAGAGAAACATGCACACGCCCGAGCGAGGCCGAGCACCGCGGCGGGCCGCGGCGGGCGTCGTTCCCAAGACGGCCGAGGTGCCCCGACCAGCCACGGCGTCTTGAATGGATGCGAGGGCGGCTGCCACACGCACGCCTTCGGCAGAGGCGGGGGGGGCGGCGACCGAGAAGGAGCGGGCCGCGCAGGGCGAGGTCGGGGTCAGGCTGGCCTCCCTGGCCGAGGCTCGCGATGCGGCCGAGCGTGCCGAACGTGACCATGCTGAGGCTGCGGAATGGCTTCCTCTCTGGGGAGCCGAACTCTACTACACCGACGCGTTTTTCTGGCCCTGCACTAAAATTCGCACAGGAACGCGGATCTTGGTGTATACGGGATCCTGGTGTATACATGTTTCGTCCCTTGGAACATGGGGGAAAAGTATACACCACACCACCCCGACGTCGTCCCCGACCCTCAAACGTCCTGGGATTGAAAGAGAGCCCGCCACTGGTAATGTAAATGTTCCAGTTTCCGACTCTCGTCTAGGACGATGTCAAGGAGGCCTTGGAGTACAAGGAGAGCTTCGACAACACGAAGTTTCGTGCTGACGTTCGTCATGCTGGGGAGGAGGCTGCGCACCGCACCGCGCAGCTGGACAGGCTCGGGAGCAGGCAGCTCGGGAAGCCTTTGGGGGGCGGAGGGCAGCGGCTGCAATGCCGCGGGGGAGGGTGCAGGCGCTGCAGGCCCGCGCCCCCCGCAGAGCTGGCGCGCCGCTGGCGACCCTCCCCCTCACCGCAGGCGTGGGTGGCGCAAGCGCCGCCGCAAGCGCAGCCGCTGCCCCACCGCGCCCCGCGGGCCCACTTCAGCCTGGCCTCGCCGACCTCGGAGGCGTGGCCAGGCAGCGGGCCCAAGAACACCTTCATGAAGCCGCTGAAGGGGACTTGGAAAAGCTCGTCCAGAAATCACCTCACTAACGCCCATTGGCAGGAGATGCGTATGGTCGCGATCTCGCAGCGGGGGGAGGTTGAACTGTCTGATGTGTAGGGGGGTGATGCAGGTAATGCCGAACATTCTGGCGCTGTGCTTGGAGAGCTGAAGGAGTTGCGTAAGCGTCCTGCCGAATGCCGAAGCCTCGATGGCCCCGCCTCACGGCGCTACGGAGAGCTGGTCGGTAAGCAGGCAGTGCCCCGCGCGGCCAAGAAGGCCAGGCGTGCTGTGCAGCATCAGGGCACCCGCACTTTCGCTGCGTTCTGTCAGGGGGCGGTCGCCATGCTCTGTGCCATCCCTGAGGCGCCTGCAGGCCCAACCAACCAAGCGCTAAGTCTGTAGCAAGAAAATGTGCCGCAAGCGGGGGCGCGAGCTCCAGCTTGTGAATGGTACGAGCTAGCCTGACATCGCTAGTGGGTCGTGTCAACTCGCCTTTCGGAGGCGGAGGCGGTGTGTGTGTGTGTGTGTGTCGCAGAGCATCATATCCTCACCGAGGGGGTCGCGATGGGTTGGAACCCGCTCTTACCAAGACGCTAGGGAACCTTCTGGAGGTGGTACTCACGGAGGCGTGGCGTGCTCGCCAAAAGAGGTGTGCATATTCGGCGTGGTTTTCGAGGTCTGTCCCGAATGACCCAGATTGGTTTTGGAATGGGCTTGTTCCTCTTGGGCAGAAGTTGCACGGTTTATTACATTGCTGTGGCTGTGCTTTACCTGGTATCTGGTGGCGTTTCTGTGGGCCGCCGGTGGGAACCTGACTCGTCTGAAGCAGACTTCGGATTATTTTGTGAACACCCTGTCGATCCCGTGAGTCATCCACGGGAACTTTAACATACATCCTGGTCTCCTGGGCGAGTGTGGTTTCCTGGACCTGACTCACGCGAAGTCAATGCTTCCTAGTTATGTTGAGTTCACCTGCAGCGTCGGGTGTACCATGATTGATTACGTTGTTTGCTCCACGGACCTGGTTCCTTATGCACGAATGCAGGCCGTTCCCGACTCACCGTTCGAGACTCACGCGTGTCTTCGAGTGACGGCCCCAACGGAGGTCACCACCCAAGTTGTTTGGCGCAAGCACCGTGCTGCGAAACGTCCCAAAACATGCGGCTCACACCATCTCTGGCCTCACTACCGCGACGTTGTATGCAAGCACGGTGATCCGTTCCACAGTCCTTCTGATATGAAGGAATCTAACTTGGAACATACCTTGGCTCGCACCACCACCCCGCTGCCGGAAGATTACGCTCTGTGGCCGGGAGCGCCTGAGATGAGTTACTGTCGGACTTCATTGGACAGGACACGCGAGAGGACACAAGACCCTTCCGAGGGCCACATCGCCATAGAAGTGTAAGAAGGCACGCGTCGCGAGGCACAGGACACAAGGGCACCCTTGATTTGGCAAGGTCGACCTCCTAATCCGGGCCGACTGTATGCTTCCAAGGGTTGCCAGTTTTTGGAGGACGTCGGCAGTTTGCCCGGTCGTGGGACAGGCGAGTAGAGGGTGGGTGGAGGGGGGGGGGAAGCGTCTGACTGGTGAGGTGCGCGGGTATTGCGCCTAGGGTCCTCGTCCTCATCCTCCTCCTCCTCCTCCTCCTCCTCCTCGTGGTCTTCCCCCTCCTCCTCCTCCTCCTCCTCCTCCTCCTGCTCCTCCTCCTCCTCCTCCTCCTCCTCCTCCTCCTCCTCCTCCTCGTTCTCCTCCTCCTCCTCCTCCTCCCCCTCCTCCTTCTCCTCCCCCTCCTCCTCCTCCTGGCACTCCCGGTTCTGCTGATCCGCAGGCCACGTACACGCTGGCAGTATCTACGCTCTTGGTACCATTGGTTAACTCGGCATCCCCCCTTGCTGTGGCACATAATGGAAAATGCACAAACGGAAATATGAACGTAATGGTCGGCGGGCGGGTCAGAGTGAGAGAGATCGACAGGTGTAGAACCAGATGGCGGAAGACAACGATGCTCACATGAACAAACTGCTAGGTAAGCCCATGAGTATACGTGTGTGAGTGTATCGAAAAACATGAATCCACATACGCTTGAGAGGTAGAGAGCAAGAACGAGAGAGAGAGAGAGAGCGAAGGACAGATACATATACACTGTGCTGCAAGAACGTGCAATAATAACGCCAGACGCCACCCAATATTGCAATGCCACGGCAGATCGAGGAATGGTCCAGCAAAAGACTCGCGTGCAGACTGGACTGGAGCGGGCACCGCGCTGGCGTTTCTCACATTTGTGAAGCGCTTGCGGGCCGCACTTGCCCGCCAGAGCAGACGAGGGGCCGAGGAAGCCCCCGAGGAAAACTGACTCGATCTGACAAAGCTGGTGGCGGGGACGCTGGATAAAGAATCGTGGGGTGGGGGGCCTTGAACCCCGTATCCGGTAGCGGCACCTACGGCAACGATTCACCACTATCCCTTGCCAGTGCCGCTCTGGGCCCTCGGATGGTGCATGCGCACAGATCCTCGTAGACTCGACCAACCACCCAGGGCCCAGGACGTACCCAGCCAGAGACGCTGGTGGTGTATAGCTGCCTGCGTGGGTCGCAAGGACCGCAAGGAGATGCCCTCGCGGTCCACCTACCACAGTGCGGCCCCATGGAACATCGATCCCATGGATACGCTCCGTGCGAGGCGTCCGCGAAAACCCGCGGTGGACGGTAACTTTATCCGTTAGGGCATGGCCGAACAACCCTGACCGCGATACCGTTGAGATAAATGAATCTGTTCATGTCTCGCGGTGGGCGACTTTGGTGCTCAAAATTTCGAAGGGTGGGGGGATCCCCCCGACGCAGGAGCTGTCGCCTCCGAGATGTGTCACAGCGAGGGAGGCCGCGCGTCTTCGCCGAAAGACATCATCCGGGATGCCTGCGGTAGCGGGCCGCTCTCCCCAGCGGGAAGGAGGGCACCTCTCAGTATCTGGAACGCACACTCGTCGCTCACGAAAGCAGACCCACGCGCGTTCAGGAATACCAGGCGCCAGGACACTTTTCGTATCGGAATCGGGAACTCAGATCGGCATCCTAAGAGGTCGTAACCTCGCAAAAAAGGCTGGTACCCAACTCCGCACATGCCTGAACGCTCATGACTCGAAACATACCTTGAACTTGTACTACCGAACAACTAGCAAAAAACGGTTTGGGTCTGCACAACCCGGATTGCAGATTACACGTTCAGAGCGCCCATCGCCATCAATTCGTCATCCAACACCCCAGCCCTAAATCGGGCAACGCAAAGCCGTGCCACGTCTGCCTGCTGTGTGTGGCATGGGTGGACTGCAAAAGCGCCGATCGACTAGGCCAAGTTCACACAGGAATTTGATCTGGAGGTGGGCCCAAACCTGAGCATGACAGTCATAGCAAGTAAGCTACTTGTTCAATGCCATCGCACGCTTCTCATTCTGTCAGGGCTCAGTACATGCCGACTCATACACAGTGCTGCATGCTGCGTGAAGCGGAACCCACACTCTGTCTATCCCAATATCTATTTCTCCATGTTGTTCCCTTCTCTCTCTCTCTACCTATATTACATCGTGAGTTCTACAGCAGTTCTGCCCGCTGCTCGTACGATGTGCCCCACCAGCGCAACGACACTGTTTGGCAAGATCAGAAGGGAAACCTTCGGCAGCCACATCGGCAGCAGCCTGCACGCTGCTCCCGGGAGAAGCGTCCGAAGCGCCCGGGCCATCCTGGCGCCAGAAAGGTGGCTGGGTGCGCGCAGTGACAGATGGCCGTGATAGGCGGACGAGCCAGAGGAACGGGGAGGTGAGACTCCCACGGCTATGGACAACGCGAAGCCTACAGTGGATCCAAGGCCCTCAAACTTCAGTGCCCGCGACCCCCGATGTGAAGGCGTGCGTTCTCCGAAACTTGATGTGCGATTCTCGAGGAAGCGGGCAAATTCCGGCATAGACCTTCCAACCTACAAGCTAAACGTCACGTATGGGAGGCCCGCGACGCGGCAGCACTGACCCCACCACTCCAATGAGGCTTGTAATACCCTCAATGTAGATAACCTCCGCACTGGGGAGATTGCAGGAAGGCTCAGCAAACTACCGTGGCATTGTTCCCCCGTGCGTCAGTCGAATGATTGATCACAACTGGAAGGGCTGTTGTTGAGCCGCGTGATGTTTTTGCCGCTGCCTTCTGTCATTCGCGGCGTCTCGGCGCTGCTTGGTGCTGCTTGCTGCCACTTCCTTCTTCGTACTGCTGATTGCAATTGTTTGCCTCTGTCTGCTGCTTGCTGCCGCTTGGGCCTTCCTTCGCCTGCCTCTCGGGGCATCTCTTGCGGCCTCTCGTCCGATCCTGCCAGCGTCGCGCGGCCCGCCGCGCACTCTCGGAGCTGTCTGAAACGTTCTAAAATCCTTTAGGGCAGTCCAGGGGCTCTCTTGAACCGTCATGACGACCTCGTGCTAAGTCGGGCGTGTCACCCCATATAGGGGGATGTTCGACGAAAAACAAAGAATACTCAAAACATCATCCAAAATTGTCACAAAATGCTCAAAACAACAGTCCCCAGACTATTTTGTTTTACTATGTCTGAATATTCCCCCTGTAGAGGGACAGGCCCGACTAACACCTCCTGAGGGCCTTCCAGAGCCTTTTGGGCATTCATGGCCTGTGTCGGGGAGTCGTGTGGCCCTGCGAGTGCCCGTTTGGGCTCGCCTGGCACCGTCCCTGTGGCTCTCGTCGACATTTTGTCGGGCAACTCTGGACGTCCTCCTGAGCCATCTTGGAGGCGTCTTGGGGCCCTCTTGGGCGGTTAGGTCGCAGACTAGGGCCTTCAAGAGCAATCCTGAGAGCTGAGCCGAGAAGCGAAAACGAAAAACACTTGCTCTGCTTGACCAGCCAGACCAAGGCACAGCCGCCTGAGCCGCTTGATGCTGTTGCAGCTGCGTCCCATCGTTTGTGGGTGCGTTCTGCTGCTTGATGTGGCTCTTCTGTGTTGACTTCTGCCCCTTCCTCCTGTGTTGCTGGTCTCTCTCTGTCGTTGGCCGCTGTGTGCCGCTGATTGCTTCTGCTTGGGCCTCTCTTCGCATATCGCTTGGGGTGTCTCTTGGGGTCTCTCGCGCATGCATTCCAGCATCGCGGGGACTCTCGCGCACCCTCGGAACCTTCTGAATCGTCCTGGGACCCCACGAGGCCCTACTGGGGCTCTCTCCGGGCCATCCTACACCGCCATGGGGGCCGCTTGGGGGCCTCTTGGAGCCTGCGGGTAGAAGGGATAAAGGAAGTGATCGAATGAAGTTTCACTGGAAGTTTCAGGTCTGAAAGCCATGGCAGCTCAAGAAAACACATGGTGCCCCACCTTTTCACGGACAGGGGCGAATAGAGCGAAGGCAGAATTGTACCGTGAGCATCGCAACGTAGAGGAGGACGAGGGGAATGATCAGGATGGGGAGCAGCAGTAGGGAGGAGGGGAACAACGTGAAGGAGAGAAATAAAAAGAGGGAGAGAACGTGAGGGAGATACGAGCAAGGCCGACGAGGTGGTATTGCGGTTTAAGGCGAACAGGACGGACCACATTGGAGCGGGTATGGCCAGGAATCACTGTCGCGCAAGAGGTGCTGCCAGGTGTGGGCGGACGAGGAGTTCCAGGGGCACTTTCCTGCAAGACCAGGAGAGGACGTGAGGGAGATACCGTCGGGGCGTTGACCTAAGGAACCCAAAATAAGGAACGAGGCAGCTTTTCTCCAGAAGTTAAACTTCGACTTCCCATCGAAAACCTAAGGAACACCTGGGGCAAATTGTGAAACAATCAAGGAACACCGAGCCCCTCCCCAACGAAAAGGGTTCCTTCTTCAGCGCCCCGACTGTACGAGCAATGAGGAGGTGGAGAGGGGGGAGGAGGATGGGCAGGTTGTGGAGGATGTGGAGGAGACCAAGCACGTGGAGCAGGAGGCGAGCCGGATGAGCCAGCCAGTGTGAGCCGAGGCTCAGGAACAGTACCGAAATGCCAAGCTGAATCCTGCAAGCTTTTTCGACGGCTCGGCATGGCCTCGAGCCGTCCGCACCGCCTCCCGACAGAACGCCAGCAGAAACGGCCACACTCGCCCCGTCTTGTCAGAATCGGTTCTTCATTTTGCGAAGCTTCGCGAAAACCTCCACCGGCGTGCAGCCGGGGCAAACTGCCTGCAACTCGTCACAGCCAGAGCGCATGAACGGGTTGATGAGCATCTCGTTCTTGAGCGTCGAGGGCACTGTGAACTTTCGCTCTAGTCGCAGCTGCTTGCAAAACTGCAACATGTCCTTGAGATTTTCGTTCTCGGTATCCACCGTGACCGCAAACTGCAAATTCTTGATCGTGTACTCGTGACCCACGTACACCTGCGTGTCCTCATGAAGCCGCCCCAAGACGTTCATTATAGAATTGTGCATCTCCTCGGGGGTGCCGTCGAAGGTGCGCCCGCAGCCCGCAACGAAGAGCGTGTCGCCGGTAAACACCACGCCTGCGGCAATCTCCTGCGGCTCGTCTTCAGGAGGCTCCGTACCCGTGGGCTTCCGATCTTGAAGGGTACAATGGTAGCAGAAGGAGCCCCTCGTGTGCCCTGGCGTGTGCAGGGCCTGTACAGTGATCCCGCCCACCGAGAAGCGGTCGCCGTGGTCCAGTGGGTGCGTGCACGCTTGCACCCTGTCCAACCTACCGCCGTAGATTTCTATCACTCGGCGGCTGCGGCAGGTGGGAAAAGCCAGGGGGGAGGGGGGGGCATTTCATTTGCTCGTGCTCGAGCATCACCCACCAGCCCAGCGATGAGCCCAAAGAGTCGTGTAATGCCCCCCGCCCTGGGCGACCTCACCCCATACATCACTAACACCCTCCTCCGAAGTCAGAACACTGTTTGTGACGTGGGGCCCTGGGGGTCCCGACCTCTTACCGGGGCTGGCATGTCGCCCTGACTTGTTATCCAGCCGCTCCGGTCGGGCGGGTGGTCAGGGGGGAGGTCTAGAGAGGGTCTGAGAAAGAGGCCCTAAGAGGAGCCTGGCCATCGCTCGGACATCCATTCCCTGTGCTTTGTTCGGTTTCGTGCGTGGTTGTTTCGCAGGATGATCCAGGATGCTGCTGAATTATCCCCGCCAAGAAAAAGTGCACACTTCAGAGCGATATCAAGGAGCCCTTTAGGTAGCCCCCTGGAGCCGAGCCTCTGAAGGGATGTTGTTGTGTGCGATGTATTCTGCTGATAAATCATAATCAAGCTGGGGCGGGCGAAGGGTTGTTCACTGTCCCTGGGTGCGTGGTCGTATTGGGATTCCGCGATACGGAATATTGTTGTTTTTGCTTTCGTTGGTGTTCTTATTGCTGTATGTGTTATGTGCTGTTGCTGTTGTTGTTCTTGTTCTTGCACTACCATGACCAACTAAATATTAGGGTTGGTCCCACCTCCAGCGACCATTCTGATTTTCAAATAAAAAAACTCCACCCGGGGCTCGTCTCGTTCTTTATCAGGGGACGCCACTAGGCCTCAAACTGTGCTGTTGGTCCCCGGATTACAACAACAACGACAATCATTTGACCTTCATGCGCGGTGTGTCCACACGAAGCATGCGACCATCATGATAACCATCCACATCATGGGGGACGCTTGTTCTATAGCGGGGCCTGTTACTCCCATTCCCAGATCTCCCGCCCAATGAGGTCTTGCAAACACCTCCTCCGAGGAATTTCAACATACCCCGCCTCGAAAACACACGCCCGCGCCTTGCTGCGCCCATGCGAGACCACCAGTGGAACCCCAGCGAAGGGTAAAGCACAAGGAAGTACCGAACCACATGATTGCCTTGGTGGGGATGGGGGCTGTCGGCGGTGAGGCAAGGACCTGGCCCTGAATAGAAAGGGAGGAGGTCTCGAGCGGGAGCGATGTTCTTGCTGGGAGCGGCGCCAATGCTGAAGAGAATAGGGCGCTAGTCCAGCGTAAAACAAAACGAAGTCTCGAGCGGGAACGCCGGTTTTGTTGGGACGGCGGCGTTCGGCGGCGAGGAAGAACACCGCCTTGAGTAAGAAAGGAGGAAGCATCGAGAGGGAGCCGTGGTTTTGTCGGGGCGTGGGCTGTCGGCGGCGAGGAACAGCACCGTCCGGAGGAAAAAGAGAGGAAATCTCGAGCGGGAACGATGTTCTTGCTGGGAGCGGCGCCAATTCAAAAAAGAGTAGGGCTCCAGACCAGCGCGTAAAACGGAAGGAGGTCTCGGGCGGGAGCACTGGTTCTGTCGGAGCGGGAGTTTTCGGCGGCGAGGAGGGACGCCGCCTTGAGTAACAAGGGAGGAAGCATCGAGCGGGGGCCGTGGTTTTGTCGGGAAGGGGGTTCTCGGCGGCGAGGAGCAGCACCGTCTTCAGGAAAAAAGGAAAAAGCCTCGAACGGGAGTGTTGTTCTTGCTGGGAGCGGCGCCAATTCAAAAGAGAGTTGGGCGCCAGTCCAACGTAAAACGGAAGGAGGTCTCGGGCGGGAGCGCTGGTTTTGTCGGGGCGGCGGTTTTCGGCGGCGAGGAGGACCACCGCCTTGAGTAAAAAAGGAAGGAAGCCTCGAGCGGGAACGTTGTTTATGCTGGGTGCGGCGCCGATGAGAGAAACACTAGCGCGCCAGTCCAAGGTAAAACGGGAGGAAGTCTCGAGCGGGAGCGTTGTTGTTGTTGTTGGGGGGCCGGTTGTGGCGGTCCCCTAAACCGCTCGAGCGTGAGCCTCATTTTCCATAAGAATATAACCGGGCGCCTAAAGGGGGCAAGTGCGCCTAAAAGGGGCCAAACAATAACAATTGCTTAATAATTGCATTCACCGGCGGTTCCCGCTGGAGACTTCCTCCCAATTTAGCTGGGCCCCAGCTCCCGCCTGAGACTCCTCTGCGTTCTACTTAGGAATTGCGCTGTCGCTTCGGACTTCCCTAACATTGATCCAGGAATCGATATCTCGGCGTTCTGGAGACGCGCTTTCGCTGGAGACTTGCCTGCGCTGTATTCAAGAATCGCGCCATTGCGTTGGAACTCCCCGCAACTTGCTCAAGCGCAGCACTCCCGACACTCAGGCACCCGTGGCTCTTGCTGCACTTCGTGGCCCCGTTGTAGCCCTTCGCGGCCCCCTCGCTGCCCCTCGTGGCCCCATTGCAGCCCTTCGTGGGCCCTTCGCTGCTCTTCGTGGCCCCGTTGCACCCCTTCGTGGTTCCCTCGCTGCCCGTCGTGGCCCCCTTGCAGCCCTTCGTGCACCCCTTCGCTGCCCTCCGTGGCCCCGTTGCAGCGTTTCGTGGCTGCCTCTCTGCCCCTCGTGGCCCCCGTGCATCCCTTCGCGGCTCCTTCGCTGCCCCTCGTGGCCCCGTGGCAGCCCTTCGTGGCCCCCTCGCTGCCCTTCGTGGCCGTTCCAACCCTTCGCGGCCCCCTCGCTGTCAATCGTGGCCCCGTTGCGGCCCTTCGCGGCCTCTTCGCTGCCTTTCGTGTCCCCCTTGCAGCCCTTCGTGGCCCCCTCGCTGCACTTCGAGGCCCCATATATGCATGCCCTTCGTGGCAGCCGCTCGTTCGCGCCCGAGCTTGCACCATGCGCGTGCTCTTTGTGGCCCCGCTGTCGCCTTTCGTGGCCCCCTCGCTGCCCGTCGTGGCCCCGTTGCTGCCCTCAGTGGCCTCGTCCTTTGTCCCCTACGGCCCAATCTACGCATGCCCTTCATGGCCCCCGTTGATTCGCGTACGTCGTGGCCCCCATATGCATGCCCGTCGTGGCCCCGCTGTCGCCCTTTGTGGCCCCCTCGCTGCCCCACGTGGCCCCGTTGCTACCCTGTGGCCCCGTCGTTGCACTCTGTGGCCCCGCATCATCTGCCCTTCGCTGCCCCCGATCGTTCGCGCCCTTCGTGGCGCCATACGCATGCCCTTTGTGGCCCCGCTGTCGCTTTCGCTTTCGCTCCAGCTTTCGCTCGTCGTCGTCGTCGCCGTCGTCGTCGTCGTCGTCGTCGTCGTCGCCGTCGTCGTCGTCGTTGTCGTCGTCGTCGCGGTCGGTCCCCTGCCCGTCCCTCTTTGGGTCGGGTTTGCGCCGATCAACGCTGCCGCTGGCCAGGCCGACGGTCCGCGGCCACCCCTTGCCGGGGCCCGGCGTGCATGGAAGAAAAAGAAACCCGCCAAAAACGGGTACGACCGAAGACGAAAAGACAGGGTATCGAGGGCTTGGGAAATACACGTCGAATGACACTCGTGCAGATAAGGGCGCACAGTATTAAAATGATGGTTGTTGTTGTTGGAATTGATGTTGTTGTTGATGTTATTGTTATTGCTGTTGCTGTTGTTTTGTTGATATTGTGGCTGTTGTTGTCGTCGTCGTCGTCGTCATCGTCGCTGTCGTGATTGCTGTTGCTGTTGATGCTGTGGTTGTTGCTGTCGTCGTTGTTGTCGTTGCTGTTGCTGTTGATGTTGTTGTTGTTGTTGTTGTTGTTGTTGTTGTTGTTGTTGGTATGGTTGTTGTTGTTGTGGTTGTTGTTGCTTGGCGCCGCCCCCCCCCCCCCCCGCGAACCCAACCCGCGACCCACCCCGCGGCCCACCTCGCGACACGCCCGCGATCGACCCGCGAAACACCTGCGACCCACCCCGCGACACGCGACCGTCCCGCGACCGTCCCGCGACCCACCCGCAACCCACCCGCGACCCTCCCACGACCAACCCACGACCCACTCCGCGACCTACCCACATTGCTTGAACGAGCAATCGGGGCCTGTGGTGGGCTCGTTTTATAATTTGTAAATATTAGGGGCCTGCGGCGGGCTTCTTCAGAGCCTCGCAAACTGCAGACGTCCCCGCCGCACCCTCACTCTTATCCGCGACTGCAGGGCTTACTGCATTTATTAGCAATGTTTGCAACAGTGGCTGCTTTCGATGCCCCACCGCGACTAACGACCCGTCTGGCGGCGCCAAGATCTCGGAACAGGGCAAGCTCGGAAACATCGGCAGCTCCGAATCGGCTCCCGGTAAGGCGAAACCAGGACGAGGACAAAATGAGTGTGCTTTCTTTGCTGTTTCTACGAGGGCAACTCGGGAATCTCTGAAGTCTGGCGGGTCTGGATGATGTATCTGGCGTCGCGGTCCTCTCAGAGCGTTCCGGGACGCTCTGGGACGGATCTGCCCCCATCCTAGCCAGACCCCTCCTGGGGTCGAAACGCACCAGTTGCCAAGAGTTGCGTCCAGCCGCGGCGACGTAAAAGGGGGCGCCCCGAGGGCCAATGACCGTTGTGTCTAATACCCCCGTCCTAGCCGGACCCCTCCTGGGGTCAAAAAGTATCAGTTTTTCGGAGTCGCGTCCAGCCGCGGCGACAAGGAGGGCGCCCCCAGGGCCAACGACCGTTGTATCTCATCGCGCTCCTCTGAGGATCGGCGGCGGAGGGTCCGCTGAGCGCGTTCCGCAACGTGGGCAATACATGGGGCCCTGAAGGGGTCGCCGGGGGCCCACAAGGGGAACAATCCGGGAAACGCCGACCATCAGTGCACGCAGACCCTGGCAAAACCCATCCTCTGCCCAGCATCGGTGAGTACGTGCTCCATGTTGGTCAATCGCGCGCGCCCAAAGTGGGAACGAAAGGTGTACGTTTCTTCGCCCCCCCAAAGTATGGCCCCCCCAGTACGCAACGAACAACTGCCGCATCCGCCGACCATGTCCGGGACCTGCCTCCGCATCTCGCTGTTGCCGCCGGCGTGGTCGGAGTGGCAGTGCGTCGTGAGCACGGCCACGATCCTCACGCCCTCGCTGCGCGCCTTCGCGACCACGAGGTGCGCCTCCGCGGGGTCGACGGCGGCCGCCAGCTTGGTCTCGTCGTCTATCAGAAGGTATGCGTAGTTGTCCGAGAGGCACGGCACCACGACGACGCGCATGGCTCGGGGTGCAAGTGCGCGGGCGTCTGGCATCACGCCGTGGGCGTCCCCTGGCGGCGCATTGCGAGCCCACTCGGCGTCCGAGCCTATCCGACCGAGGCACGGAGCCAGGATTGAACCCATTCGGCGGCCGAATGGGCTCGGACGCCTAACGGACTCAAAGGGACATTTTGGGCGAAGATGCCTGGCTGAGTACCCCCTGAGCCAAAATGGGCGCGGAGGGATTGTCTTCGCATCGTGCGGTCTTGCATTCATTATCTGGTATCATGACACCGACTTCGAGGTTCAACGTAGTTTCGCATGTTCCGAAATTACACACTAAAACATATTTTCGAGATACAGATGATTGAAGAATCGGTCGGGCCGATTCCAACTACGGGAAAATACTGCCATGGCTAGGTTGACAATTCGAAGCAGGTCTCTAAGGAGGCGCCTGTTTCCGTGAACCATGGCAGGAAACCTTCCTCCGCCGCTTAGCGGAGACGAGGGAACCCAACCATGAGGACAGGCTAGTCGCCCGAAACACACATATCCTGGAAATTGCTCGCGCGCGCCGAATTAGCAACCCGTTAGCTCTTCCGTCCAAAATGGGCCCACGAAGGTGACCCAGAGGGCCCTTCTGGGCTCGGTTCAAGGTGGGCCCAACGATTCCATGTTTTTTCGGTACGCGCCGTTTTGTTCTTACGAGCGTCCAAGCCAAACCCTAAATTGGCGGGCTGAACTGCACCCCGCGCCGACGACGACAAGGACGACAGGGACAACGACAACGACGACGACAACGACGACGACGACGACGGCGCTAACGACGGCAGCGACAACGACGACGACGACCAGTTCGACACAGCCCGCTCGCGCGCGCCACAACCGCATGGGTGCTGCAGCTTGCGGAGGCACCACGCAGCGCATTACCAGCGCGCCGAGGCTGCGCGACACTCCCCCCCCCCCCCCCCCCCCCCCGAACAGGACATGGGGCTCCGGCCGTCGTGATGTCGTCTTGGGCCTACTAGTTAGTAATACGCCCAAGAAGGCCTCACGACGGCCGAGAAGGGCCTCAAGACGGCCCAAAAGAGCCCAAGGGAACCGAAACGACGGCCCTGGATAGACCCAACCAAGATCCCAAGACGACCCAGAGGGGCCCCGAGGCGGCCTCCAGAGGCGCCAGACGGCCCAAGAACGCCCTGAGATGGCACCACGGGAGCGGCTACCTGGCCCAAGGAAGAACCAAGACGTCCCCTAGAAGGCCACACCAGCCCAACACGAGCACCAAGAATAGCCCCAAGACGGCTCCTCCCTCGCTTCCCCCAGTGGTATCCCAACTTCGAGACATCTAGATTTGGCCCAGTAGTATGGTGGTGGTGAATTGTCTCCCGACTGCGATCTTCTCCGGGACGCTGCTGGATCTGGGCCCGTCTCTGTAATCGGCCTCTCAGACCTGCCTTGGAATGCGGTCTTGTTGTGACCTCGAGGCTGCACTATAACCGTTGCCACAAGGACGCCGATGATACCCAAACAGGTCCCCAAACGCCCAACAAACCTCGATACCCCATCCTCGGGCTTGGACCAAGCCCCATCCCCAGCAGTAGACTACAACCTACCACATGTGAGCCGCGGCCTTACAGGAGGGATACAGAATTCGAAGGATGTCTATCACTAGTGAGGTGTCCAATAACCCCCTGAGACCCGATGTCGCCATAATTACAGCATCGTGAACATCCTTCCGTTGTGCCAGATCGGCACTGCGAGGCCCCCTGGGTCTAGACGTTAGGCCAGAAGCCTTGTGCGCGAAACAACTCGGACGCCCAGATCTCGGGGCCCAGAGTCGGTTGGACCCGCAGGTTGAGGGCCTGGTCATTGGCACCAGCAATGGGGAAGATGATCCTGGATGTTGGTGCTGGTGGTGATGCCTCGGCCATTTAAGAAGCCTGAATATTACCATCATCGCGGGGGTCACCTGTGCCCGCCGACCAGTCCGAGTGTGACCGAAACTGGCGCCCGGACGTTCCTGGCTGATAGGGGCTGGGTGCCATGACATCTTCACTCGGTGCAGGCAACCGCCGTTGCTGGCGTTGGTGCCAACCTCTCGGCGGTGGACACACCTCCCTTTAGTAAACCTCCCCTTAGCGAAAACGGCCTGGGACCAACAACCGACGGGCCTGGACCCGCAAAAATGCCCCCTCTCGCGAACCGAAGACGACCAATCCCTTGATCGACGTCTCAGCCTCTGCGCCTCCGGGCAGGGGGAGCGCTCGCAGACTGCCGCAGAGGCAGAGGGCGCCCAGACCCAGCGGGGCCTCGCCGTGGCCGCCGCCCGCACCGGCCGCGGCCAGCGGCAGCGCCTCGGGCGCGGCCCCTCCGCCCCCTGCCGTGACGACCCCCCCCCGGGGGCCCACGGGAGGCTCCCCGTCGCCACGGCCGGGCCCGCCTCGGCATCCTGGCGAGGCCGGCCCCCTGGGGCAGGTCTGGGGGTCCGAGCTTCGACCCACGGGGCGGCGCCGCCGCCCCCCCCCCCCCCCCCACATTCCCTCACATTCCCCCCTCTCCGGTAAGCGGAGCCGATGGCTGCGATTCGAGCTGCTTGTGCCCTCGCCGCAGCCCGCGCTGCTTTTGCCCCCCCCCCCCTCTCTCTCCCGCTGCCAGGCGGGAAGCTGGAGCAACCGCCGAAGCTCAGCGCAGACTACCTTAGGGGTGATTTTGGGGGACCTGCCAACCCTGGGTGCGACACAAGGGGGACCATCTTGGGGGGGTGACGGTGCGCTCGCTCACACGCGTCGCCCCTTCCACGACTCTCGCGTTCAGGACTCCCGCCGCAGGCCCCACAGCTATGTTCGCGGCAATATGGGCCATATGCTCTGGGACGTCAGCCCCTCCTTTCCTCCCCCCGTGAGGCCATCATCGGCCTCACCTGTGAGATTCGCGTTTGGCCTCAGAGCCCTAGCAGGTTCTGTCATTGGGGCTGCCAGGGCCCCTCTCCCACCAAAAACATCATGCCGCTAGTGGCACCGGAGGGGGCCGTGGCCCTCCCTACGGTCCCTCGGCCAACGAAGACGGCCGTAGGGAGGGGTGTCAACGTACCTCCACAACTCAAACTCTCTTGACCGTAAGGCGCCAATTGCTACCATCCACTGTTTCCCTCCTGCCCTGCCAGGACTCGCCCGACCATCCACACCCCGCTCAAGCGGGCCCCTGGAAGGCCACGCGAGCGTGACGACCCCTTCGCCTCCCTCCACGACGTGGGCAATTGGCCCGCCCTGTGCCGCCCCCCGAGCGCCGTGGCGGCCGGCGGCGCTGGGGCCCACGCGGCAGGGCCGGCCGCAGCGGTGGCGCCTCGGCGCTCGGCGCGCGCGCGCGCGGCGGGCGCCAGCGGCAGAGCGGAGGCGGAGCGGCGGCGGAGGAGCGGAGCGGCGGCCTGGCCTGGCGCGGCGGCGGCGGCGCACGCCGCCGCGGCGGCGGGCGTCGCGATTGCGGCAGCGGTATGCGCTCTTGACAGTTCGAGGCCTCTCAAATGGGCTCCGAGTAGATGGGGTCGGAGGATCGCGCCGCATCGCTGATGCATCGGCGGTACATCGGCGATGCATTCGCCATGCATCGGCGACGTCGGAGATGCATCGGCGCCGTCGGCGTGGAGAAACGGGCTCTACATCGATCCGCATCGGCAATGCATCGGCGATGCGGCGTGATCCTCCGACTCCATCTCCTCGAACTCCATCTGGGATGCCCAGACTCGATGGGCTCGAGGTTCCTGGGCTAGGAGGAAATATTGAAGATGCATGTCTTTTGAATGCCTTTTATCGCCATTGTAGGCCTCCAGCGGGCCTCTCGTTGCCACAGCTGGATCCGACTGGAAATTCCAATCAGAACACCCCCCTGAACATGTGCTTGGGCGATTTCGAAGGGATGGCCCAAACCTTCTCGCACCTTGACAATGAACGGATCACGCTGAAAGGTCTTTGCCCATCATCGGTCTTTGCCCATCATCAGTACCGGGGCCGTCGGGGAACGACCCAGACTGAAAAGCGGGCTCAGGGGAAGGCGTCGAGATCCCAGGGGGCCCATGGCATGGAAGAGCTGAGACGTCGGAGGAGATGGGCGGCCGTGGCGGTGTGCGCGTAGACCAGGAAGCTGGACACGCGCACTGGCACGGCGTCGCGCACCGCCGCCGCTACCGTCGTCGGCGTCGTCGTCGGCGTCGTCGTCGTCTTCGGAGGAGACGCGGCCGCGTGCCCTTGCCAGCGTTTAGCCCTTCGCGTCGGCCCGCTGCGCGCCAGGTCTTCCACTAGCGCGCAAATGCAGCAGGTGGCCCTGCGCGGTGCTCCTCCGCGTGCCGTGCGCGTCTCTCCACGGCTTCCTGGCAGCTCGCGCGGCGTAGTGCGGCAGCGGCGGCGGCGGGCGCGGCGAGCGGCGAGACTGGAGCGGCCGCGCGGCCGCGACGGCGCCCCTCGCTCTGTCGGGCGCGTCCCTGACGCTCGGGCGCCCTGGAGAATGCGAAAAGAGCGGTGACAGACACTGTCCATCCGTGTCGAAGCGCCAGGTTCCTCGCGGATGGGTCCAGCTCGGGAGGCGTCGATAGCTTCAGCCGTAAGGCTTTACGCGGCCACTTCTTCTTGCGACGTCGGACCCCTGGGTTGGTGGCTGTAGGAAATGTCTGGAGGGCTCCTTCTTGCGCCCCTGTCCTCCCCTTCCCCCCTTGCCCCCCCTGGCTCCCCCGCCTTTTGCTCTTACTCGATATGAGCAGTGCTTATCTTTCTCCCTGGGTTCTCTGCGAGCGGGGAGCCGCCACCCCTGCATTGTTTGGGTTCCCGCCGCACAAACGTTCCACACGTGGCGGGTTCCTGGAGCCCTGAACCCAAAAAGGCTGCCATCTCTTGGGAGGCCGATTTTCGCTTCCGCCGGCGGAGCCAGACCCCTCGTCATTCACCGCCTCCCGCCGAAGACAATATGGCAACTACTCCGATCCCTGAAGGCGAAGCCGTTTCTTGACACCGCCACATCTGTCCCATATCCGTGTTCATTCATGGCGCCGGTGGTTCTCAGAATGGTGCACCTGCTGCATTGTTGGCCTCATGTCAGGACCGGCGCGTTGCTGCCATTGCACTGAACAGCGCTCCCGCCCAAGCGCGGAGCACAATTCTGGATACGATCACTTCCTCGTCGTCCTGGTGTCGCCCCCTCCTTCCCCTTCCTGTTCACGCGCCACCTCCTCATCCTTTTCCCCTTCCTCCTCCTCGTCCTCTTCCTCTCCCAATGTTGTCCCCCTTGTGATTGCGCAACACGCGACAGGGTATACGTCGGGACATCTAAGTCCGCGACATCCCGCCGGGAAAAGAAAACAAATCGACGCAATGGATGGGCATGGGTCGGAGGGGTAGGGAGCATGATCTGGCTCGAGCGCGCGCTCGTTTGGATTGCCTCGACCCTCCCCTCTTCCACCCACTCCCCGTGCCCCCCTCCCCCTCCACCCTGAAGCCCCTTTTCCCCTTTTCTCTTCCCCCCACGTCATCCAATTAAGTTTAGGGAGGACAGGGGGCAAGGGGAACAGGCAGGAGAACAAGAAAAACAAGGACCCCCCGCCCCCCGACCGGGCCCGGGCCCCGCATCACCACCGCATCCCCAGGGGTCTCTGCTAAGGCAGGCCGCGGACTTTACCAAAATGAGGAAGCGGCTTTACTAAAACGGGCAAGCGGCTTTACTAAAGCGAGGAAGCGATTTTAGCAAAGGCGCGCCGCTCAATACATTCCGAAAACAGACGACGTTTACTGAAGCGAAAGAGAGCTTTAGTAAACCGGAAGAACGGCTGGGGTAAAACTGCGCGCAGAAACTTCGCTCCTCCCAAAAAACCTGGCCCGGGACTCCAGGGGAGAAGCGGGCGCAAGTTCGCCCGTGGACCCGGGCCCCGTCGCCGCCGTCGCAGCGATGTTCGTCGTCGCCAGAGTCGCCGTTGCCGCCGTCGTCGTCACCGTCGGCGCAGGCGCCGCCATCGTCGTCGCCGTCGCCGTCGCCGTCGCCGTCGTCGTCGCAGCGACGCCCGCGCATTCACGTTACTACGAGCGGCGGGTCGCGCGCGACCGCGCGCGCCACTGCGCTCGCATCTCCGTTCGCCCGACGAGAGCGCTCTCGGACATCGTTTTTTTGGTTGTTCCTCCTGTGTGCCCATCACTCGTTTGAAGTAATCGTGGGGGGGAACGCCTCTGACACGACAGGTGAAAGCCTTGACCTGGACACGTGGGATGTCACTGGCCAATGCACATTCGTTCACGATCGGGACGACAGGCTGGCGTTTCCAGAAGCGGGCGGCGGATTCCCAGGACCACGAAACGAGAACGGGTTGCCCATGTCATCTAGCGCAATGCGCCAACGCACCTGCCGTCCTACGTGCTGTGCTGACAAGCCTGAGGTGCTGCCAATCCAGAAATAAGAGTACGTGTGTCTCCGATATGAACGTCCCCCGACGCCGCTAGCTCCTCCTTCATCGTATCAATGACCCCCAACCACTTCCTTCCTCATCTCCATCTCATCACTCTCACGATCCTGAATGGCCTGCAAGGGGGCCTGTGCCTGGATAGCACGAGCATGTACAAAAGTATCCTCACTCTGCTCTGCGAGACCTGGACGAGCTGCTTGCATACTGTGAAAAGCCTTCTCAATCTGTAGAATATGGCTCTGGATTCCCAATGTATGCCCGTTGATCTTCTCAGTGGTTCCTCGATCCAACTAATGAGTGAGCGAACATACAGTGCACGAAAAAGGCTGAATGAGCTTTTTGAAAACGGCAATCAGGTTGGATATGGCAGGAATCGGGAAGGCCCTTACTTTCCTCGCTCTCAACAAAACCATGGAGTATCTATAATTTTCCTCTCCACGGTATGGCTTGGCGCATCGCCTCCATGGCGACAGGGGAGACGGGAACAGGAGCAAGGAGACGCGGCCGCCGAGGGCCAGGGGGCGCGGCCACCAAGCCAAGCGCCTCGAGAGAGGTTGGGCCCCCTGAGCGAAAATGGCTACGGAAAGAAAAGGAGGAGGAGGAGGAGGAGAAAGAGGAGGAGGAGGACGAGGAGAAGGAGGAGGAGGAGGAGGCAGGAGGAGGAAGAGGAGGAGATGGAGGAGGAGGAGGAGGAGGAAGAAGAGGAGGAGGAGGAGGAGGAGGAGGAGGAAGAGGGAGGAGACCGAAGACGCGAAAAGGGTCCCAAGTGCCCCTTGGCAGCCTCCAGCTCCAGGCTCGCGGGCGCCCGCGGGCGTGGTGGCACCGGCCCCGCCGCCGCGAAGGGCCTGGAGCTGCCGCTGCGCCTCGCGCCGCTCCTCCTCAGCCTGGTCCGCCTCCCGAGGCTGGGGGCGCACGGCGCGCGAGATCACCCTCCCGCTCCTCCTGCCATCCTCCTGCCCCTCCTGGTCCCACCTCTTGTTCCCCGCAAGCGGCCAACCAGAACACCCTGCTTCTCCTCCTGCCATTCTTCTGCTCCTCTTGCCCTGCTCCTGCTCCTTCTGGCCCAATCTCTCCTTTCTCGCAGCCTGGGCAAAGCCGTCTCATCACGACGCCATGGGCAACGGGACGACTCACAGCCAACGAAAACAACTTCCAAAGACTTTGGTATACATTCGAGACTCTTTGGTACAAACTCGAAACAACCTATATGACAAGCCTTCGCGAGGCGTCTTACAGGCGCATCTGCGGGGCGGCTTACATACAGCTTTCAGGCGCCTCTACGAGGCAACTTGAAAGCGTCGCAGCGAAGCGTCTTATAAGCGTTTTAAAATCGCCTCTGCAAGGTATCTTGCAGGCGCAGCTGCGAAGCGTCTTACAAGCGTCTTACAGGCGACTCCGCGAGGCGTCTGCGAAGCGTTTTACCGGCATCTTACAGGCGTCGTTGCGAAGCGCTTCACACGCGTCTTATGGGCGACGCTGCCAGGCGAGGCACCTGTGCAAGGCGTCAGCGAGGCGTCGTACAGGCGTCTGAAAGTCGCCTCTGCGAAGCGTCTTACATGCGCCTAGCAGGCACCTCTGCCAGACGTCTACAGGTGTCTTAGCAGCGCCTCTGCGAGGCGTTTAAAAGGCGTCGTACAGGCGGCTCTGCGAGGCGTCTTACAAGCGTCTCTGCGAGGCATCTGCGAGGCGTCTTACTGGCATGTTGCAATGCTGGGCACAGAGATGCCGCGTGTGAGATGTTTCTCGCTTCGCGGGGTGCGCGTCCGCACCAAGTGCAGTCCATTCGTTGTGGGGCATCCTGGTGACATCATGGGGGCCTCTCGGAGGCCTCATAGACTCTCCGGTCCACAGGCTTCACCACATTCCTCCGCCTCTGCCTGATTTCTCGTTTTCTTATGTTCCAAGCCTCCTCCTCCTCCTCCTCCTCCT